CCAATATTGCAGGTGTCAGGAAGGCAGAGCCCTGTCACCTATGAACGTTGGTCTGATATTTTGGATTATAGGCGATGTGCCTCGGCCATTGTAAATCTCAGCATGAGATTCCAATCCGTTATAACTTGAAAGCATTAGGATGTTTAGGCTTTAATAAATATTTGCTTGAATGGAACTACCGTGTCAGCTCTGAAGCAATGAAAATGCCGCTATTTGTGAACATGTTTCTTTTGGAACCTGCTGTGTTAATGAGTGCTGTAGCCTGGAAACCGATCCAGACTGGAAGTTCAAGATCTCTACTTAGAGCTATGAGTTCATTGCCATGCATCGTCTTTAGAAATCTGCTTTTAAACTATTTATTTACTTCCTCATTTGTTGTGTGGGCATGCATGTGTGAGCATGTATGTGCACACAGATGCCGGTGTGTGTGTGAAGGCAGGTGTTGTTCCCTGGTCACCATCCACCTTGTGTTTGGGAACAAGGTCTTCCGTTGACTTGGAACCAGCTGGTTAGACTAGCCTGGCTGGCTAGTGAGCCCCAGGGATCCAAATCCCTAGGTCCGGAATTTATAAGGTTATACACCCATGCTTGGCTTTTTAACAGTGAGTTCAGGTTCTCATGTCTGGGCACAAGCAGTTTACAGATTGAGTTATCACTCCCAGCCCTCATATTCACAACACGTATTTGTGTTGTGAAATAATGATCTTATAGAAAAATTTGCATTATATTCATAATATTCATTATATATATATTCAATGCTAGTTTGATCATTCTGATGATAAGTTAAACGGCAAGAAGGTAAATTTGAGGGAATTGAGGAGTAATTCCAAGGAGAAGCAAAGTTTATTGAAGTGCTAACATGGTTTTATAAAATCATGTAAGTTACATTTGATTGATCTATGTGTCAACTTGAAGGCCTAATGGAGACCCAAAATCATTGGTAAAACTGTATTTTGGGATATGTCTCTAAGGGTGTTTCTGAAAGAAACTATAATTTGAATCATTGGACTGAATAATACAAACAGTCTTCATCAATACAGCTCGGGACTGTCCAATCGATGAAGGGCTTAAACAGGACAGGAAGGTGGAAGAGGGGCAAATTTACTGTTTCCAGCATGGACAGTTTGTTTTCTTCTGCTTTGACCCATTGGAGAATCTGGGATTTAGACTGTTGGACTCTGGGACTTATACCAGCACCTTCTGCTTCTACCCCAACCCCTTTGTAGCTGCCCTGATTCTTTACTCTTCAGATGCCAGTTTAAAGGCCTTTGGGTCCTCCATAGTCTCAGGAGTATATTATCAGTCTGTACTGATTTTAAGTTCTGAGAATTGTGCAGTTTGAACACACTGGGGCAACCAGCCCCTGGTTTAAGAGTACACTTTATTCTGGAGGTGGTGGCACACACCTTTAGTCCCAGCTTTCGAGAAGCAGAGGCAGACATATCCCTGAGTTTGAGGTCAGCCTGGTGTACAGAATGAGTTTCAGGGCAACCAGGGCTACACAGAGAAACCCTGTCTTGAAAACCAGGAAGCAGAATACACTCAACATCCTAGAAACTTCCTTCATGGTTTGATCTAGTTATTAACTTCTGCCAGTTGGCAGTGGCTGTTCTTTTCTTTTTTTCTTCTTTTTCTTTTCTTTTCTTTTCTTTTCTTTTCTTTTCTTTTCTTCTTAAAAGCATATACTGAGTGTTTGGAGCATCTCTGTAGTACTCTGTTTTGTAACTGCTTCTTTTGCTCAATATTACAGTTATGAGAGTCATCCACATTCTGTGCAGCCATAATTTTCTTTTTTTTTTTTTTTTCAAATTTTCTTTTCTTTTCTTCTTAAAAGCATATACTGNTTACAGTTATGAGAGTCATCCACATTCTGTGCAGCCATAATTTTCTTTTTTTTTTTTTTTTCAAATTTTCAGTGGCATTCCATTATATGAGGGCTTTGTCCATTCAGCTCTTGCTAGGTATTTGGACTGTTTCCAAGTTTTGTCTATTATGAATTATACCATTACAAACATTCTATTGGTCTTCTGTTGAATGTGTATCTATATTCAGAATTCTGGGTCACAGAGTGTGCATACAATTGGCATGACTGTTTCAGCGAGACAAATTTCCGAAGTAGCTGGTACTGATTTGCACGACTTGTACACCAGATGTGTGTGGATTCTTCAACTGCACACACACACACACACACACACACACACACACACACGTGTGAATGTGTGATACAGTTTTTGACCTTGGGAGAGCCAGTTCCAACACCTGTCCTCTTCTTTTCCACATTATTCATAAGGTACCGTGTTCCAAGGTCAAAGAGAAGTCTGAAGACGAGAAACGAGTCGGAGTGGGGGCCCAGCAGCAAGTTTGGGACTCTGTAGGATGAAGCAGGAAGAGCAGCCAGCCGAGTTCCAATAGCGGCCGAAGTACACGCCCACTGGCGCGTGGTCTATTTATCTTTTAAAAAAAAAAAGAGCGGCAAGCCTCGGCTCCTGGTTCCGGTGCTTGGTTCCGGTTCCGGCTCCTGCTCCGGAGACTACGCTCCTTTCCTGACGGCTGGTGTTTTGTAAGTTTTACCCCCCAAAATAAATACCCCTTTAAATAGTAACTGGTGTGGGATTGTTTCGCGCATTAGAGTTCAGGAGTGAAGCGTGGGAAAGAGGGGAAAGACGCCGCAGAAGGGATGGGTCTAAATGCCCCTTGGTCATCTTTGAAGAAAGAAATTGCCTTCCTGGAGGATAACTTCTAGTGCTTTGATGTTCTGATTTGTTGGATTATAGGTATATGTTGATTGGGTAAAAGCAAAAATGAAAATATTACATAAAACACAGGGAAAATTTATCCGAAGAGTCTAGGAAACAGGTGCAAAGCCAGTCTTAAACATCTTGTTTATCTTCACTGCCGACATGGTCTGCTTCATCTAAAGAACAAAGCTACCAGAATTTTCACGGATAAGTCTCTTAAAAGATTTAGATACTGTTTTATTTATGTATACGTGTTTGCCTGCATATCTGTACGTAGACCATGTGTGAGCAGGTGCCTGAAGAGGCCAGAAGACAGGGTTAGAGCCCCTGGAACTGGAGTTACAGGGAACTGTGAGCCTGCTTGATGTGTACACTGGGAACTGAACCCATGCCCTCAGCAAGAGAAACACCGAGCCACCTCTCCAGGACCTGAGAAAGTTAAATATGTAAAAATATTAGTCTTTGAAGTTAAAATATTATTATATCACTTTCTTCCTCCCACCCTTTCTATGTACCCCACTCTTCTACAAATTCGTGACCTGTACTATTTAATTGTTATCACACACACACACGCACACACACGCACGCACATGCACACGTACACGTATATCTGTTGCTAAATATAATTATAATTAGAACTTGCTCAGCCTGTGTGTTACTTGTATGTATGTGATCTTAGTGCTGATATTAGATATTTAGTGTGGGTATTGGACAGCCAACGTGAGTGCTCTTCTGTGGGAAAGACTATTTTTCCCAGTGTCGGCACCCCTTAGCTGTCTGTAGTTCTTTGTCTAGGGCTGAGGCCCCGTTCGATGTCCTCATTTCAAGTTAGCATGTCTCTTGGGATGATCTTTGTTCAAGACTTGTTTACGAGCCCTGCTGAGGAGACTTTGTGGGTTTTGTTTCTGTGACATTTCTAGAAGAAGCCTCACAGCAAGCTTCCTGTTCTGACTCTTACAAACTGCTTTTTCAGGGTGGTAGGGGTACATGGCTTTAATCACAGCCCTCAGGAGAGTTCGAGACTAGCCTGCCTTAGAGAGTAAGTTCCAGGAAAGCCAGGGCTATACAGAGAAACCCTTTCTTGAAAAATCAAAAGCCAAGTATGAAAACAAAACAGGAAACAAACTACTCTTGCACCTGAGGCTCAGGAATCATAACGGGAGGGGGGGCAGAAATATTTAAATTTTTTTGGTTTATTTATTTATTTGTTTGTTTGTTTGGTTTTTCAAGACAGGGTTTCTCTGCGGATTTGGAGCCTGTCCTGGAACTAGCTCTTGTAGACCAGGCTGGTCTCGAACATCACAAAGATCCGCCTGCCTCTGCCTCCCAAGTGCTGGGATTAAAGGCGTGCGCCACCAGTTTTTCTGTAGCTTTGGAGCCTGTCCTGTCCTGGAACCTAGCTCTTGTAGACCAAGATGGTCTTTGAAAAAGTATTTTAATCTTAAAGTGTTTGGAGATTTGAAGAGGTAGAAGTCAATGTCTTGGCCTCCATGTTCTTTTCCTCGCTCTTTTCTTTGCTACCTTTGTGATCTGATTCCACACACTCTCTTTCCCCAGAGACGCTGAGTGAGGGTGGAGGACAAGTGATTTGCCAGCTGTAAAGGCTCAGAGACTAGAGATAATGCTCTCGTGAGGACTGGCATAGATGTGTTGACCAACTGTAGTGTCGGGTCCAGCTGGGAGCCTTGCAGGCGCTATGCAAGCGCTCTTCCACTGAGCCACCTCTCATCCCTATCTCAGAGAAGACGAATCCGTAGATGACGGAGAGGGAGAGGAAACTAGACATTTTCTGAGCTGTGCCTTCTCATTTTTTGCTTGTCTTTGATCTGCATACCGAATGGTTTTGTTCCTGAGGGGGAAATCTAGTTTAGTAGCTTTAAACCAAGGGTGTAGAGGCCTCTGTATCCTTCAAACAGTGCTTATCCGTGCTACTCTCCATGGTAACTTTAGCTGCAGTAAAAGCTGGCTGGGGGGGGGGGGGGGGGGTCAGTCGACAGTCGTGGATGCCAAGATCCGTGTCTCTCTGGGTTTGCTTGCTAATTCTGTCCCCCACTCCCACTGCATGAGCCATCTGGAAGGAGGGAGCAGGCTTGGAGTTAAATTTGGAGGTCTATGAGGCACGAGATGTGTAGTTGCTCTCTTCATTTGAATTGAAAATTTGATCCAATTCTGGAGACTTCTCAGTTAGCGTTAACCTTCTGGCTCGAGCCGCAAATCTGGAGCCGACTCTATAACATTATTTGCTTTGCTTTAAAAGGGCGAAGTGCTGTCTCACACCTAGCAGGGAGGCGATAGAGCAACAACACTTGCCTTGCTATGTCTGTCATCGTTTCTTTACCTGAAGTGTAGTGAAAAAGCTTGAAAAATGCTTCTAGGCCTACATTATCAAAAGTAGAACAACAGTCTAGTATCCTGGAACCTTACCAATCAATCAGTCAACCAATCAACGTCCTAGGCGCTGTCCTCATTGCATCAAAAAGGCCCTGCTTCTGCTACAGCATCAGAGCCGCTAAGGCCGTAGTTTGCAAAATGAAAATAAGAGGGAAGAGAAGCAGTTGCCACGAAGCAGTAAAAGCATCATTGCAGGAAGCGCCAAAATACACAACTTCTGCTGCTACCCCGACTGACTTTATCACCCGTTAACTGCAGTTTATAACGACATGGCGGTCACAGCAAGAACACATCAATGAGGACATCTGTGAGAGCTGGGTTTGCATCCAAAGTACGTTTACTTTCTGAGAGCCACAATGTTATGTGTTGAAGGCATTTCTACTCCCTGATGGTCTCCGTGGAGAATTCTGAGGGAGCTGTGGTATTATTCAGCGGTAACTTCCCAGGTAAAACTTACCCAATTAATTAGAAAAAATACATGTAGCTTACACAAAATGGATTCAAGAACAATTTCATGCTCTTCCTCCCCTTCTCTTCCTCTTTTCCCTTTTCTCCTCTCTTCCTGGTGAACCTCGAGATTGAACCTAGGACATCAAGCATGAAATTCATAGGGCATTGTGCGTTGGAGTCAAGTGTTCTGTACTGAGCTATAGAGAGCCCCACCTCTCTTTCGGGAATAGAGGACCAGTGTAAACTATGAAAGAGTAATCACTACCAACCAATCAGAACTGGACCGCAGAAAGGGAAAGTGGGGGTTTGCCTACCTACTTGTATCTTCTCTGTGTGTGGAACGAGGTAGTGCACATTTATAGAAATGAACTGGAGTTGAACCACACGTCCTATAGCTTTTATCCCTAATGAAATTGTATAAGTTTACGGGATACATTTAGCTACACCACAAGCAAATATTGAGACATTTAAGAGGAAACTGTGTGTTGAGAGAGTAGCTGCATAAATCTTGATTTTTTTTAAACCTTTTTACTCTATACAATGTAAGCCACTTCCTGAGTTCCAAAAAAAACATTCGCTATGTGAGTGAGGTCTACATGTTTTAATATAAGATGAAACTTAATCACAAAATAGCGGCATGTTCAGCTGGCCATCTACTTTTTTATGGATTTAATAAAAACATACCAGGGATAGGCAATGTGCTGACTAATGGGCCCACAGGCATGGTTTTGCCTTCATGTATGGTATTGTTTTCCTCCTGAAGGGCACAGACTCATTATATAATGTCCCACCAATTCTCAGATCTACAGTTCCCTCTAGTTTGATAGCTTTTATACCAAGAGACATGCTAAAATTGAAAGAATGTCACAGCTTGACATTTTCTTTTTTTAAATTAATTTTATTTTAGAATTTCATCCACAAGTCCTATATTTGCATCATCATCACCCGCCCCTCTCTCCTCCAGCTCTTCTCATGTCTCCGTGACTCCCTCTCAAATGGTTAACCTCTTTGTTATTTTACATATATAACCTGATGACATTTAGTGTTTTGGGAAGACACCTAGGATTGGATAACCTATTAGGGCGCTTGTCCCTAGAGAAGACTGAATCTTTCTTTCTCAGCATCTACTAATTGTCTGTAGTCTTTCACCTAGGGGTGGGACATTGTGATGTTTCCATCCATGCTGGCATGTCAACAGATGTCATTGTGTGAGTCTTGTTTAAGCTACATATTGCTGAGATTTCATGGTAGTATATAGAAGAGATGACCTCACAGATGTTCTGGTTTTCTGATTCCATACTCTTTCAACTTCAGTTTCCCTGCTGTTCCTTGAGCCTTCAGTGTAGGGGTGGTGTCGTAGACCTCTCAGTCTGTGTTGGATATGTCATGGTCCCTTGTCCTTTACATTTTGCTCAATTGTGGATTTCTAGAATGTTCTCTGTCTACTGCAAAAAAAAAAAAAAGCTCATTTGATCGAGTGTGAGAGCTACATTTACACGTGTGTATAAGGATACGCGTTTAGGATGCATCTTATAGTTGGATATGATGCTGGTTTAGGAAAAGTAGCTGTAGTAGGGTCCTCCTTTCATGTCCATGACATCACCAACAATGGCTAGGTTCCTATGGCCAGGCATGAATTCCCGTCTATTGATCAGGTCATAAGTCCAACGAGACAGCTGTTGGTTAAGTTTTGACTTGACTTGATTTTAATATAATAGTTTTATATATTTTTGTTGTTGTTGTTGTGAGCCTAGCCTTGAATAGCTCAGTCATCTCTCCAGCCCTAGAATAGTTTTAAATCTAAGTGCTTAGGAGTGGGTGTATTTTTTTTTTTTTTTTTTTGGATTAGCTATTCTGCTTTTTTCTTTTTTGAGGCAAGGTCTCTCCATGTGATTCACTCGCTATGTAGACTAAGCTGGTCTCAAACTCAGAGATCTGCTAGTCTCTGCCTTTTCAGTGCTGGCATTAAAGGTGTGAACACCAGGCACTGCTGTCTTTTTTTTTAATTATATAAAAAGGTAATGTCACCTCCTATTTGAGCCTTCCTTGGTATCTTGTCACTTAAGCCAAGAGCAAAGGCTACCTTAAAACTCTTTAGGGTGAAGAATTTTTGAGATTTTGTGATTCTAATAAGAATTGGTAGGCCACATGCAGGTTGTATTCCAGCAGCTTGCTTATGACAGCAGTGCTTCTTACAAAGATAAGACAGAATACCAAATAAGCCAGGTAAGGAGGTGCATGCTGGTAAGCCCACCTCTCCCTCTCAATATGGCCTTGCCCTCAGTTTTGTGGGGAACAACCAATAACCTTCGTATCGTTTTGCTTCCTGTTCCCATGACCTTAAGTTCTGCTGGCCTAGAAGTTCCAGTTCCGGAGGTGGGGGTGCTCCTGCCAAGAGATACAACTAAATTCCACTGAACTGGAAGCTCAGACTTCTCCCTGGCTGCTTTGGGCTTCTGATCCTCTGAAGCCAACCAGCTAAGAAAGGAATAACAGTGTTTGGAGGTTCTGACATGTGATTGTGTTCTTGGTTGTCAACATTGACTGCATATGGAATTAACTAGAATCCAAGTGACTGGGTACACCTGTGAAGGATTTTTCTTAATAGTTTGCAATAGGGTGACCCACCTTTAACCTGGATCTTTTGAGGTGGGGAAGACTCACCTCAAACTGGGCCACACCGTCTCATGGAAGCCAGTATAAAGGATGCGAAAGAAGGAAGCGTCTGCTTTTTGTTTGCTTTAGCTCTCACTGGCAAGTCCATTCCTTCACTGGGCTTAGAGCCACTTCTTCTGGAGCCTGGCATATACTGAGAGCCATCGAGACATCCAGCCTCATGGTCTGAACAACTATTGGGTTCTTGTACTTTCCATTGGTAGGTAGGCAGCCACTGTTGGACTAGCTGGACCCCAGTCTGTAAGCCACTTTAATAAATACCGTTTACACACACACACACACACACACACACACACACACACACACACACTTGTTCTATCAGTTCTGTTCCTCTAGAGAACGCTGACTAATAACTTGGCAACAGCCTGAGTTGTTTGGGGGTTTCCATGAGTGGTTGGGGCTATTTGGTGATTTCATTTTGATTGCTTTCATATATACATATATTTGAAGAAGCTGCTTCCGTCAAATGGCCTTGGGTTTTAGTTGTCTTTCCCCATATATCCTCCTTTAACCCCCCCTTTCCTTTCTCTCTCCATTTAATCCTCTTGTCCAATCTCCTCACCCTTGTTTCTCCATAATTATCCCAATCCCTTAATCTATACCTAATCTTTGTGGTTATAGGGATTGTAGCATGACTGTTGAGGGTGTAGTCGCTAACATCCACATATAATAGCACACATGCCATATTTGTCTTTTGGGGTCTGTTTATGTCACTCAGGATGCAATTTTTCTAGTTCTACATATTTGCCTGTGATTTTCCTTATATTTCATTGAATGGAGCACATTTTCCTTATCCATTCATCTGTTGATGGACATCTAGATTGTTTTCCATTTCCAGCTGTTTTGAATGCAGCCACAATAAACATGGATGAGCAAGTATCTCTGTAGTAGGGCGTAGAGTCCTTTGGGTATATGCCCAAGAGTGGTGTAGCTGGATCTTGAGGTAGATTATTTTCAACTTCCTGAGAAGCCGCCACACTGATTTCCACAGTGGCTGTACAAGTTTGCACTCCCACTAGGAATGAATGAGTGTTTCCCTTGCCCCACATTCTGACCACCATGAGCTGTCATTGGTGTTATTGATCTTGGCCATTCTGACTGGCGTAAAATGAAGTCTTCACTAGTTTCGATTTGCATGTCCCTGATGATGAAGAATGTCGAATGTTTCTTTATTTCTCAGCCATATAAGTTTTCTATTTTGAGTATTCTCTATTTAGTTTGTACAATTTTTGGTTTATTTGTTTTCTTGATGTCCAGTTTTTTTTTAGTTCTTTATATATTTTAGATATTAGCCCTTTATCAGATGTATAATTGGTAAAAATCTTTCCCTATTCTGTAGCCTGCCTCTTTGTCCATATTATGATGTCCTTTGCAACATATGAGTTTTCAGTTTCATGAGGTCCCATTTACTAATTATTGATCTTAGTGCCTATGCTAATTGTGTTCTGTTCAGAAAGTCTTTTCCTGTGCCAAATGAGTTCAAAAGGATTCTCCACTTTCTCTTCTGTCAGACTCAGGGTATCTGGCCTTATGTTGAGGTCCTTGATCCATCTGGGGTTGTGCTTTGTATAGGAAGATAAATATGGATCTATTTGCATTCTTCTACATGCAATCATCCAGTTTTATTATTTTTTTTTCTTTTTCTTTCTTTCTTTCTTTCTTTCTTTATTTATTAAATATTTCAGTCTCTTCCCCACCTCCGCCTCCCCTTTCCCTCCCCCTTCCCCAATCCATTCCCCCTCCCTCGTCAGCCCAAAGAGCAATCAGGGCTCTCCGTCCCGTGGGAAGTCCGAGGAAAACCCTCCTCCGTCCAGGTCTC